ATTACAGTGGTCCCTTTTTATCTGCAGAGGATACATTTCGAGATTCCCAGTGAATGCTTGAAACCATAAATAATACTGAACACTATTATGATGTAGATATCATGTTTTCCCCATCCATACATTTAATGACTTTTCCATCTTAGCTAACCACTTAATCATGCACTGTGGCTACTACTTTTGTAGTCTGAGGTGTGACAGCAGAACTAGGACAGATTCCTTTTTCCTCTTTCAAAATTTCATTGACAGAAGATTCATTCTTACTACAGAGCTTAGTAACTTTAGTATATGAGTTATTTCCTTGTTAAGAACTTTGACTTTTTCACTTAAAGGAAGCACTTTATGGCTTCTCTATAGCATACCTGAATTTCCTATATCACACAATACTAGGATAATTATTAAGCAAAATAAATGTTGGTTGAACCTAAGCACTGTGACACACTAATAGTGGATTTGGTAGCTACTAAATGATCATTGAGTGGGTGCTGTGTACAGTGTGGATAGGTAGACAAAGGGAGAATTCATATCCTGCTAGAAAGAAGCATGACAGGTCTAGATTTTGCATGATAGTCAGAATTGTGCTCATTTGAAAAGTTATGAATGATTTCTGAAATTTTCAGTCTAATATTTTTGGACCATAGTTGACCACCTGGAAATAACTAAAGTAACTAAAGTCATTAAAATTGAAACCATGAGTAGGGGACTACTGTACTGGGTACAAAAATTTAAAAAGTGGTATACAGATTTAAGAAACTATTTGTACTTCTGTGTACTTCTCCACATTCTATGTTTTACAATTACCTTACCATTCTTGACTTAATTGCAATTAACTAGAGCATACAGAGGTCTATCTTATTAATATCAATAGTCTCAATATGTTCTGTATTTACTGAAAACAGATAATAAATATTAGATTGATGGATAAATAAATGAATAAAATGATGCTTCAAAGTTAAGAGAGAAGATAGCAGTGATAAAAAGGAGCTACAGAGTTCAGTAACAACATTTAAAATTACATTGGCTCATTAGCCCTCACAGGTATCACTATTCCTATTTAACATATGAGGAATTTTCAGTTCAGAAAAGTTCACAGCCAGTAACTAGGAGGGCTGAGATTGAAGCCAGATCCATTTTCAATATACAAGCTTTCTCCATGGTACCATCATCATGTCAACAGTATGAGACATTCAATCTTAAAATTTCTGCTCTTCCTAGGGGAGGAAAGATGGCAGATAGATAACAGCAGCTACAGAGGCTCTCTGAGATAGCCAACTTAGATTCCAAAAATAATACAGCATGAGGAGTTCCAAACAGAGGGAGATATACCCTCTTGATCCAGGAATGAATTAGCTGAGAGAAACCAATTAAAAATACAGTCCTGGTGCTACAATTGGAACAGCTAAAGTCTCAGTGCCACTGCTTGAACTTGTGGATTGAAGTCGCTGCCACACCTGAATTGGTGCAGCCAGGAGAGCCCACTAGTTTCAACTCACTGGAGACGTGAATACTCTGAGAGTGGGAATTGGCTAACAGAATTGAGAGCAGAGCTAGCGGGGAACCCTGCATCGACCTGCGGTGAGTGAGAGGAATAAAAACCCTTCCATAGACAAACAGGCTCCAACAGAGGACATTCTGGGACTGAGCAGATTGGCCAGAACATGGCACTACAGTGATTTCAGTCACATATTCCCCTCTCAAGCAGGATTGGTGGGGAGCACTTGACCTGGGTGATGCCATGGACTGAAACCCAATAGGCTAGCCCAAACCAGGTCCCTGCACCTGGCAGTGCACCCTAAGGCAGTGAAGCCTTCAGTAGGTTGACCTGAAGGGGCAGGCCCAACATAGGCTGCCCGGGTCTGTACCTCCTAGTACACTGCAGTGGGTGGGACCACCTAGTCAGTGCTCTTAAGGCAAACTGAAACTCACAAAGAAAGAAACTGGGCTTTCTATATATGCTTGTATGGAAGGAACAAAAAATATGAGAAGAGGAGGCAACAAGAAAGAGTCCTCAGTCCCCAATACTGAGAACACTGATCCAGGAAAGTTAAATGCAAAGGAGAATGAGGCATGGCACAAATAGACATAAAGCGATATCTTTGGGACCTCATAGACAAGTTCAAAAGTGAAGTATTTAACCAAGTAAAGTAAGATATAAATAGAATAATTAAGGAAATGCTAAACACTTCCCAAGAAAAAACAGATGGTAGAATGGAAGAACCAAAAAAAGGGGAGAATTGTTTGATGGAGAAAATAGAGACAACACAGAATACATGAAGCAGGTTCCAAGAGATTACCAGGAAACTAAAAACTTTATTGAAAGCTGGTATAATAGCTTGAAAGATACTAAGGATAGATTATCTGAACTGGAGGACAGGTTTGTAATGTGGGAGCATGAAAGGAAAAACTTCTTAAAAATAACAAGGAAACAAGCAGTAACAATACAAAGGCTAGAAGATGACAAGAGGATCTATAATTTAAGAATAAAATATGTGGAGGGGCTGGGGATTTAGCTCCGCAGCATAAGCGCCTGCCTTGCAAGCAGGCAGTCATGAGTTCGATCCCTGGTACCGATAAAAACGAAAAAGACACACACCAAAAAAGAATAAAAAATGTGAATGAAGAAGCAGGGGTACAAACAAAGGAACTGCAAAGGCAATTCACAGAAATAATCAAGGAAAACTTCCCAAACATAGGAAAAGGAAAAGATGCTCAAATACATGAGGCATACAGAATTCCAACCACCTACAGTCAAAACAGAACTACACCCAGGCATATAATAATCAGGATTCCAGAAATCCAATATAAGAACAGAATATTAAAAGCTGTCAGAGACAAGAAACAGATCACTTACAAGGGAAAACTCATCAGAATTACAACAGACTTCTTGGCACAAACCATCAAATCTAGAAGAGTGTGGGGCGCAATAATCCAAGCCTTGAAAGACGATAACCTCCAGTGAAGATTGATATATCCTGCACAATTGTCCCTAGAAATTAATGGAGAAATAAGGTGCTTTCAAGATAAAGAGGGGCTGGGGGAATTCGCAACCACCAATCCAACTCTACAGAGAATACTGCAGGACGTTCTAAAGAGAGAGAAAAGCACCAGGATTCCAGAAACAGTGGCAGAGAGCCCCCAATGAATGAATCAGAAAGTGAAATGAAGAAGACAAACCGACAACTAATGACAGAAAATGAGCACAACAGAAATGAGGCAGAGAAGGTTGGATATAATTTCTAATATAGATGGCCTAGATACACTATCTTAATGGAAGAAAGAGAGAATCGCAGTCAGGGTGGATCAAGAGGTAGGGTCCACCGAGAGGCTCTTTATAGGAAATATATTTAGCCTGAAGAAGATTATATCAACAAATGTGTAGGGCTGATAACCGTATTACTAAGTTTTTGTTAGATCATTGAGCAGAACTGTTGGCAGTGTCACTATTTGAATGTCACTTTACATACTTTAATTTTGTAACCTGAACAACTATTTCTAAGATGACAACATGTAAATTATCAACCGTTTATTTTTTTGTAATTCTGTATTATTTCTACCCTTTTTTCTCCATGTATTTTTTTTTTGTTTCTTTCTCTTTAAATAAAAAAAGGTTATATGGACCAAAATCAAATATGAGAAAACAGAGCTTGATGTGATAGGGAACCAGAGAGTAATAGAGGTAACTGGACCAGTATTTATGGATAGGTTTTAATAAATGAAGAAGACAGGCTTTAATAAATAAAGAAATATAACTAGAAATCCAGTCCAGAAGTAAGAAAGTTCAGAAACACTTAGGTAAATAGCAGGTTGCTCCCCCAATATAAAACCGTGAGTGTTGGGGAGACCCAAAAATACACATTAATTCTGGAGGAGTAAAGGGGAGGGATAGTCTTAAAAAAACAGAAGATATAGCTAATAGTGTATTAGGAATTAAAGCCCTTATTACTCACACCACCCTGCTCAGATGGAACTTGTTCTGCCCTAGTTTGTATACAAGCACTGGATCTGAGGGCACAGAGAGCTGTCCCAAAGATAACAGGACATAGCACAGTGGTCATCTTTAATTTCCTATTAACTCAATCAGGATCCCTGTATAACTTATACTGTTGTATCATGATTGATCTTAGTTAAATCTGACTTATTTGATTGCTGCTTATTATTGACAGATTTTATTCAAAACTGTTAGATTGCTGGTATCAAATTGAGGAGTATAGACAACTATACTGAAAATGACAATGATTCAACATGATATCCATTCTGATTTAATTACTACCTGTTTTTGTAGCTCTACACTATCTACAAAGTTGTATTTCTATTAATTCAGTTATGTACTGATACATTCAATTATACTTTATCTGATGATATAGCCAATTCTGTTGATGTTAACAAGAAACAGCACAGTGACCATGGTAGAAATCCTTATACAGCAGTTTTATATGTCTTTTTAGTTTTATGTGTCTATAGGAATATGTTTAGTTCTGTCCTGCTTTGTTCTGTTTCTCCTTCTAATGTAGAAAGGATAGAAATACATGTTAAAACTCATGCTTGCGTAAAACCTATAAACAGTTTATGAGAACTGATCTTATGACACATAATGAAGTGAACAAATACTTTGAAGGAAATAAAGGGGCACTGCAGTACCCAGTGCTGATTCCAGAGTGTTATGATGTGAAATCCAGAAATATTATTAATCTTTGTTCAGAATGATTTTTTTTATCGGTACTGGGGATCAAACTCATGACTGCCTGCTTGCAAGGCCAGTGCTTATGCCGCTGAGCGAAATCCCCAGCCCCTTTTCAGAAGGATTTTAATCTAATAAGTTTTGTTAAGTCTCAACATAAATGAAGATACGGATAAATGTGTACATGTCTAAGTGTATAGGATTGATAGGCATATTACTTATTTTTTGTCAGATAGTTGAACAGAACTGTTTGCAGTCTTCCTAGTTGAATTCCCATTTATATGTTTCACTTTTGTATCTTGAACAACTATTGGTGGGGGGACAATATGTATACATCAACTAGTGATTTATTACTGTTTATTTCTTTTCTTTGAAAGTATGTACTGCTTCTGCCCATTTTCTAATTTGTTTTGTCTTTCTTTAAATAATAATAATAATAATAATAATAAACTTTCTGCTCCCTTAGATCTTACTGCTCCTTCACTAGGTGACTCCAAGGTATTCTTACACCCACAGGTCAGCTTTTCCTGGAGTCCGGCTGTCTGTGTTCAGAGGTCTACGAGAGCAAGGCACGTGCAGGTCTTGAGTTCATCATCTTGCTTAGCATCAGTGACACAATCCAGGGAGAAGTTTCTTTCCTTGGCTCTTCCTTGAGTGAGTCTAGCATTCTGAAAGTTCCAAATACATGGGGTCCTGAGAAGGACCAGTTCCTGCTCCCCACCATAGCATCAAAACTTTTTTATTGTTGGCTCTGCGAAGGTAGTGGAGTCTCATTATAAGGAAAGAACTAAATGTCGTCCAAGGCATTTGGTGCTAGTTGGGGAGAAAATCTACTATTTTTTCCCCAGAAAAATCAGAGACAAAGGACCACAGAAGAGCAGAATTGCCCATCTGTTTCCATTTGAGTTTTGTGTTCTTCCAAAGTTTGCAAAGGAATCCACTGACTGTGTTATGCTCATGTGCCACTGGCAACCAAAGGGCCTCAATGAGTATGCTTCCCTTGCTCGCTTTTCCATGGCATGCTCCTTGTACTCTATTGCATTTATTTGCCTGATAATACAATGATCCTTGAGAACTAGCAGAGAAGATGGTAGAGGTGAAAGATGACTACGGAGTTCAATAACAATAATTGTAATTTAGCTAATTAAAATTAATGATTTAATTTATTTATGTGTATGTCCAAGCACTTAAACCCCCAGAAGGGGGCCATTGTTGGCCATAGTTCATTCATTTCTGTTTTGCTTGGGTATTCTCAGTACAGACCCTACTACATAGATGGTGATCAGAAATTATAACGAACGACTGTTTTATGCCTGGGGGTTCACTTTGATTTCCTCTAGTGTTTGTTATATACCTACTATGGGCTCAGCCCTGGACTGGTGCTGTAATGGGGATATCACATTATCTCAGTTCTAGCTCTCTGGTTCCTCAGAATAGATAGCGTTTCACGATCTGCCCCCATCATTCTCTTGCTTCCTTTACAAAGTACAGAGCATCCCCCTCCAGACACTTAGCAAACATGTAGTTGGAATATGATAAAAATACTTTGGATCTTTGTTTTAAAATCTTGTTAAATTTTCTGTTTAAGAATGTTTTGTTCACAATGTGATAGGAGGTCTTTTAGAAATCAGTTCCGAGGAGCAGTCTTCCCAAAGCAGTCTGTATTCAAAGCAGTTTGGAGAGCCGAGCTGGTTGCTAGGGGCAACAGTAACTTCTAAGGGGAGATCTCTGCGTGTGGATAAAAACCAGTGCCCTGGGCTCTCTGGAAGAGTGGGGCTCCTCCACAGAGGAATAGATGAATGGAAAATGGCTGAGATACACCAGGATTCTGCTGATTGTCCTGTTTTGGTGACTAGCAGGACATGTCACTTGAGAGTGGCACAAGGCCATAGTCCCAGCACACAGGTGGCAGCTTCCAATCTTCTGATGAGCCACCAGGAGGACACAATGATTTAGGTGGCCGCAGTCACCTCCCACAGGGTCTGTTCCATGTAGCAACTGGTGCTCAGGCTGTCACATCTCTAGTGACTTATTACTATGGTGCATGTATTTTATGTCTTATTATCATACAATAGAATTCACCTCTTTCCCCTTGAAGTGCATTTTTATGAACTTTGACACCACAATCAGGACACAGCACAGTTTCATCACCTCCCAAAATTTCCTTATGCTATCCTTTTACCATGGAGACACTTTTTGCCACCTCTGTCCCCTGATTATTCTCCTTCACTCTAGTTTTGTCTTTTCAAGAATGTAGTATGAATGAGATCATTCAGTTTGTCAGCTTCTTCCACTCAGCACACTGTGTTTGAGATTGATCTAGATTGGAGTTTGTATCTGCAGTCCCTTCATTTTCACTGCTGAATAGTATTTCATAGTGTTCACTTAAGGTTGATCTTCATTCCTCCATGACTCTGTATTTGCAAATCTGCCTACTTGCTAAGATTTATAACCTACAAATCAAGACAGATGGTGGGTTCAAGTCTAGCACAGACCTGTACAAGCCGCTGGAAAATTACAGTAGCCTAAGATACACATTCCCATGTGGAGCTGAACAGTGACCTGCAGCCTTCTTGCTTCTGTTTTCGTACCGTAAAAATGTGTCCTTCGTGGTCTGTTTAGTGGCATCCTTTGTTGCACTTTGTGCTTTTGTCACCGATTTTGCAGCCTGAAATGGACCTATGCATCATGCTGAGGAGCTGCCCACTCTTCTCACCTTGTAAGGAAAGTGTATGGTAGGTAAGTTTTGTGGAGGTGCGAGTTACAGGGCTGTTGATCTTGACTTCAATGCGAATGGGTCAATGGCGTGCGTTGAATCAGTTGTCTTTAAGCAGAAACACACAGAAAACGAGGTCACCTATTGACCAGTTGATGAAAATGTCATGACAAGAGCCTTGCATAGATAGCCTCCTTCTTCATTTCCCCAGGAGCAATGGCTCAGTATTGCTCATTCAATGTGCATGGCAGCTTGATGGACCACAGCTACCACGAGCAATGAGAACTGACTGTCATTACAGCACCTGTTAGGCTGAGTTCTGGGTCTGAGCAGTACTTAAAGCCTTGCTCCTGACCTCACAGTGCTGATAATCAGATTGAGCTGATTCTCTTCCCTGGCTGTGCCACTTCAGCAGCATTTCCCCCCTTAGTTTTTGGAAGGAAAAAACTGAGAGAGCAAAGGACTTGGGTATTGGAGCAATTGTTGAGCAGAACTAGGGGAAGGCTGGGGCTTCTTCAAAGGGGGATAGAGAAGTAGGGATGAGGTAAAGCCCCAGGGGCATGAATGGAGACCGTGTCCACCATGGTAACCCCAAATGCCACATTTCCAGGAGTGCTGCTAAGCTCTGGAAGCACTCGGGGCACATGCATATTTCCCAGAAGCCCCATGGAGAGCCTTGGGGGGCACAGAGGGGAATGGGGGAAGCATATAGGGGTGCAGGACCAAAAGCTGCATGACCACTGTGGCCTTTCTGCGGGGAACTAATAGAAATTAGAGGTGGTTTTGGATTCCTATGGCCTGAGAATTGACAATTTTGGTCAACTTCACTTACATTTGGGGTGGAAGGGTTGGAGTGGGAGAACTCTGCCAACATCTGGGCAGACATAAAACAGTGTCCCACAGCTGGAGCACTTACAGCCTTAACTACTGCCAGATTGTGCAGGGGAAACCCAGGGGCTGTCTCTGCCAGATGCAGACGGGAGTGGTCCAGGAGGGTCTCGTCTTCATCCAACCTTGACTCAAAGCAAAGGTCTTTCCTTCCCTAAAGCCATGATTGTGAAGAGCAAAACAACTCACCTATAAAATCACATTTTCATTTACAAGGATATTTTGCAACATTATTTCCGTGATTCTTCAGCTTTCTTTCCAAGACAGATGGCTTTTAAATTTACACAGATTAGAGGCATAGATAAGATTGGCTGTGGGTTGTGAGCAACCCCGGTGGTACTAACTATAACATCACCCCTTTCTTACCCAAGGGCATATGGAAGTGTGAGTAATATAAGGGATGCTTTAAAAAGAAAAATCTTGAATTCACTCGTTTCGGTGTGTAGTTTACTACTAATAGTAACAACGTCATTTGCTACCGCTGAGTATGCGGTGCCGGGTGTTGCTATCCCACAGTTAGGAACCCTGCATTCTCCCACGATTCCCATGACTGTATCTGGTTTGCATTCAAGGCAGTCATCAGCGAAGCACTGCAGGTCCCTAAACACTGGTGTGATCCAAGCTTTCTTCAAGAAAGTTCTGTCACCTGACCCATACCTTAGGTTTTCCAGGTCTTCTTTGGCTCCAATGGAACTTTAAATCATGATTCAGCAAAGAAGGTTTAAGACTCCCCACTAACAGACAGTGAATAAGGTTGCCTTCCCCAGCACCTGCACCTTCCAAACCCATAACACTCATAGCCCTGTGGTGAGGCAGAGGCAGGAGAAGGCCCTGCAGACCACCTCGGTCAGGACTCCGGTGAGCTTGGCTCTGTGGGCTGGGAGATGTCACACAACCCCTGCTTTTTTCTCAACTACCCTTGGTGTTTCTTTCCAGGGGAAGGAAGCTCACTAGGCATGCCCCTCTGTGCCTCACTCTCAGGCTCTCTGTTGGAAGGAAGGAGAGAAGATATTGTTGGCTGGACATAGGGGAACAGTACGCAGAGCATGTGAGAGTGGCTCCTGCTGGTTCTGTCATCTGACAAGATTACACGACAGAGTCCAAGGAGTCTCCAGCACACCCATGACACTTGTCACAGCCAGGAAGCACTGCATACAGAGGTCTGCCAGTCTGTGCTGCTGTGGCAGCTTGGGGAAGACCCCTGATTCTTGGGACCCCTCACTCAGCCACATCTACTCACTTAGCCTTTGTTAGCAACCAAGGTAGTGTTCTATATCCATCAGTTGCTATTTTTCTTTGTTTTCTTAGACTATGGCATGAAATGGGTCCATTGGGCCGTGCTTTTGCAGAAAGAGCAGGAGCCTAGTAATCTTTCCTTCAATGAGGCTAGCTCTGCCCTTTACAGCTGGTTCTAAACACACCCTTATGGCAGTGTCTCTGGATTAGCAGCAGAATTCTCAGTCACCGAAATGCAGGGATATCAGTGCTGAAAAGGAAGTTATGTTGGACTGGGCTGATCTCTGGAAACCATGATCCTGAGGTAGACAGGAGTAGTGACTCCTGCCTAAAAGATCGGGTGAGGTTTTGGGGGATGCCTCAACTGCTCTGAGCATCACTTTCCTCCTTGGCATAATGGAGCCAAACCTGCCTCTGTGTTGTGACGAAGACTGAATACAGTGGTTCAGGATTGATCTTCAATCACTGTAAGTAGGGCACATGCAAATAGCACAGAATGGACATAGGACATAGGTGTTCATGTTGGAGGTCCTAGGGACCTCAGCTTGGGGAACTGGGGACTTTGTAGGACACTGAGGGATGAGGTCAGAGAGGAGAAAGTTTTATAAAATGTGTTTTAAAGCCTGAGTCTCTGACAGGCCGAAGCTGTGGAGTCTGGGGTGAGGTCTCTGGAGACCTGTCCACACAGACAGTCCCAACTACTGCTAGATGGGGACAGGCCGGGAGGATGGTGCCCTAACTGTTCACTGTGAGAAGACTCAGAGAGGGAAGCCCGAACCCCTTGAGGCAGGGCAAGACCTGCTCAGAGTCACGCAGAAATCAGAAGACCTGAAATCACAGCGTCCCATCTCCTCCCTCGCCACAGACGCACTCTCCGTCCATCCCTAGGGCTGTGTGCTCTGCTGGGAAGCCCAGAAATCTGCGAAATCAGTCCTTTCCACCCTGCCAGTCTTTACTTCTTTTGTTCCCACTTCTCACCTTTGTCACCCAGGACATTTCTCCAAAACCTAGAAATAATTTTCTTTATGGGGAGGGATTTTAGCAATAAAACTAGCACTCCTCTCTGTGGATCTGTGTCCTTTGTCTGGGATGGAAACAAGGCCTTTATAGGCTTAATCTCAGCGCTATTGTTTACCAGTATCTGTCTCAGAAAATACTTAAGATTAATTTGTGCCTGGCACCATACCAGGGGGTCCACTCTCCAGAGAAATGTGTGTGTGTGTGTGTGTGTGTGTGTGTGTGCATGCATGTATGTGTGTACACAAGCAGGTTTTGCTCACATCAGACAAACTTGTTGTATAAGAATCAGGCTTACTAATGATAAATTAAGGGCTGATTATTCACTTTATAAAGGATTCATGTTAGGATTCCCCTAGTGCGTTTATAATGTGATTCAATTTACACCATGTTCAGCAACTGCCCATTGTGTGAAAGGAGGCTCTCTTTGCATAAACAAGAGCATATGTAGGCAGTATTTTGAGCATTATAGAAGGAAAGAATTAGATACCAAAGAGGGTTTTATTGCCGGTAACAATACTAGTGCCTGGGAACAAAGGTGAGTGGGTGACTACTTCTTCAGACTCAGGAGCACCGCGCTCCTACACAGACCTGGGGTCTAAGACCTTGCTCTAAGCTATGTGTCAGGGGCTGGGAATGTTCTGGGCACCCAGGAGCCAGGAGCTGTGGCCTTGATGTCAGGCATAAGAGGGGAGAGATGAGGATATGGTTATTAGACTTGGGGTACCCGAGCTGAGGCAGTAGGGGAGATTCTTAGGCAGGATGCGGTTCCTGCTAGGATGTTACAGACATTCCCCTCCTTCCCTTTATTGAAACCCTATTCCCAATATCGTGGGCTAGGACTGAATTCTGAGTTTTTCCCATCCATTTCTCTTTCAGGGTTTTGCTGAGCTACTCAAGCAGACAAGAACCTCCTGCTTGAGGTTCCCCAGAAGGTGAGCTTCACCTTCAAATATCCTGTCCAGTCTCCTAGTTTTTATTACCACTACAAGATTAAGATGAAGTCCAAGTGTCAGAGCCATTCACTATGCATGCAAAGGGAGTCACATTAGTAATCTGAAGTGGGGTTGGATCCCGTAGGTGCAGGTGAGGCAAAAGCATCACAGGGCCACCACGGGGGACACAGGGCCTGGGGGTGAGGACTGGCTGTGCAGGTGCAAAGACACAGCTAGCAGGTAACTGCGGTGAGAGACAGGGCTAGGCCATTCAGATGCTCAGACTTCCTGAAGCCTTGTGTCTCCAAGAAAAACTCCACCACCCCGTTCACTCGGCTGCAAAGGTAATCACATCTTTCTTCATTTGTGGGCATCTTCTGACACCCAGTCTTCTAAGCTGTACCCAAGCAAGGGTTAGACTCAGCACCATTGGATTATATGACTACCACCTGTATACTGAGACCTAAACTAGGAAAAGTCTGAGTTTTGGGGGCCTCTGGCTCTCTATCCTTGTCGCAATTTCTGCCTGGTAACAAAGGTCCTATTAAGGAGGCTGGACCGCTTCCTCAGACCTGGGGACACTTAGCCACCATGTTCCCCACCCCTCTATTTGGGCATCTTTAAAGGAACCTTTGGTGTTGCAGACCGAGTCAGCAGGGGCTGGGAGGGAGCCTCAAGCTTTATTAACTAATCTCTGATACTTGAGTAATTTATTATGTTTAAGCTGGTGCCATCAAGTCTCTCAGCAGAGCCCGTGTGCACTGGGAAATAAATTAAAGGCTGTCCAGAGACACTTGGATCATCTGTGTGATTGCTGGGCTGGTGAGATGGAGGTTTAAGGCTCTCTTTTCTTGCAAATTGGAAATTAGGAATTAATAAGACAGCAGGCCAAAGAGCTTCGGTGGTGGCGCCTTGGCTGCATGGCCAGGGCTGGGGGAGGGAAGGCCGGCGTCCAAGAACAGAGGAGAAGCAGATCCCAGCCAAGGGGCCCATGCTGTAGGAAACCCAAGAACCTCATGGGGTGGGTGAGGGACTCAGGCTGGCAAGAATTTTTCTGCCTCTTGAGGAAGGTTAAACAGGTCATGGAAAGAGCCCTACCATGAGGAGCCCGGAGTCCTGCTCCTGGCCCAGCCTGCCTCTAGCTCCTGTGTGGCAGCGGGCCGACCTCTTCCTCATTAGGGCTCCAGTGTCATTTGTCCTGGGAAAAGGCCTCAGGGCTGACTTACTCATTACGTATAGTGGACATACACAAATGTTCTAATTTCTTTTAAAGCCAGAAGGAAAAAAACCTCAAACTTTTAGGATGAGGGAAATGTTCTAATACAGAATATTAATCTTTATAACAAAGCAATCATAGCATGGCTTAGGTAAATTTCTGTGTGAGTGGTGGAAAAGCCTATGAAGGTAAGGGTCCTAAAGACTCCACAGCCCTCCCAGTGCAGCCTCCACTGGACTAGGTGACCCCAAAGGCCCTTCCTGCCCCAGTGTCGTCTGGTTTCCCATCCATCCATGGGCTCCTGGTTGGGGCTGCCCTCCCTCCACCTGGTGAGCTCTTTGAATGCCTCCTGTCTGCCTGTCCCTGCTCCCGGGGAGGGGCTGTGTGTTCATGGAGAAAACCCTTATCCAGCCCATTGGTGAGTGGTGGTGGAGTCAGGAGTGGTGCCCAGGTATCTGCACAATAGAATGCATGCTCCTGGCTTCCACTGTCCCAAGCACCCCTGCGTCATCCAGGTCCAGAGAAATGACAGGTGAGCACTTAGAAGCCTCTCCCTGTGGCTCTCTCCATGGGTGTTCCGTTCCAGCGTTTGAAACCCACTCCTATCTTCTGCTTTTCTGTCCCCACAAACTTTCAGTGGTGTGATGACATTGGCTTCAGAGGTTGCACTGAAGGACACACTACCAGCCTGCTGGGACCAGGGTTGCAGACCCAAAGCGCCAAAGAGAACCACCCTCAGGAGCCCCGGACTGTAGTTGGGAGGCCTAACCACCAGGTGGCAGGCTTGCTCTATACTGAGACCGTGGCGGGAGCATTTACCTGGCAATGGCCGGAGGGGTCAGAGGATGCCCCCACAGCCCGCGGTCCGAAGATTGTTGAGAGCAGCATGTGTGGCTTCATGAACAGTGCTGAGACTTCTCAAACTGACACCAGGCTCCTGCTGGGATGCTGGCTCCAAAGGCACCTTAGCCTCCTGGAAGCACCGTCGGGCTGATGTCAGGTATTGGAAAGAGAGCGCCCCCTGGAGCAAGGAGGGCTGACTTGCTTCCCTTGGGTTTTAGGTGGCCAAATCGGCTGAGTAGGGTAGAGTGTCTATCTGGCAAGATGGGGCTGAAAGGGACCTCCTATTTTGGAAGCATTCCTGGGACGCTGGTTCTGGAGAGAAAGGGAATGCTTACTGAACGGATCCTGTCTTTAGGCATGACGAACGCTTGATTATTGAGCTAACTTGCCTGTCCCCTGATGACGCTTTGACCCCTCGGATGCCCCATCCGAAGCAGCCTGTGCGGATATGCGCCTTGCCCTGTCTCAGACCGGCACAAGATGCAGCACGGTCCCTCCAGAACCCGGGGTTCACCTTGAAGGGCTCCTGGAGCCAGGGGCCTGGCCGCAGCCGAGCCCAGTACCTGCTCCCACCAGGAGAGAACAAGCAAAGACCAAGCAGTGTGAAGGGGAGAAGACAGAGGGAAGGATGAAGGGCTGGCGGTGAGAAAAACGAGCTGGCGCAACTCTGACCCAGCTTGCAGGGAGCGAGTGGGAGGACTTGGGTCCCCTAAACAAAGCAAGAGGTTCAGCCATGCCCTGCACTCTCCATCTCAGGCAGGATGGGTGACTCTATCCAGAGCCCGAGGCCTCCTGAGACCCCCAAGTGCCATCCATAATGCTTTGGCACCAGTCAGGCCTGTGGCCACCCAGAGTTGATGATTTTACCACTTTTTCTGCAGCATCTTCTTGGCCTCCTAAAAAGTCAAGAGGTCCAGAAAGAAGCCTTGCCCTGGGACCCCTTTGTCTGGGTTGGTCCCCCGTGCTCACCCCTCTTGCAGTCTCTGCTGTGCTTTGGCCTTCTGCTTCAGAGACCACAATGACTTATGCTCCCTGGGGACCCCGTCCCCACCCCAATCGCATGAGTGTGGGTGCTCTTCCCGCACGGCCCCCATCCCTTCAGACTCCATTCTTTCTTCCTGAGCAGGCGTCACCAGCCTGGGCAATGATGGCAGAGAGTCCCTGGGTCCCTTGTGCTTTGTTCCACATGGAATGAAGGTGAGCTGAAGCCTGCAAGAGATAAAGGAAGCAAAGCCAAGAGGCAGGAGGAGAAGGCTGGTAGGAAGGAGGAGGAGCCCAGGGAGAACAGGCCGCTGGGAGGCGCAGGAAGAGGCCGAGAAAGGGAGCGGTGCGTGGGGAAGAGACGCCAAGTGGCGGAACAGACCAGCACAGAGGGAACGGCGGAAATGGGATTAATTGCAACCAGAGGAAGGAAGAAAACAAAGGAAAAAAGCAAAACACCCCAAACACAGAAAAGGATAAACACAGAGGTAGACAGCACAGGCGTGGGCGTGAACAGCTAAGTGCACACACACAAGCTCACATGTGCATGCACATGGGTACACACCCGGGTACACACACGGGTACACACACACTCTGTGTCTGGCCTGTGTTCCGCCTTGGGCGCCGGGGAGAGGGTGGCCTTCTGTGACGGGCTCCTCCGTGTCTGCTCCTGCCCAGCCCCAAAGATTTCACTCAGGCTGGAACACACAGAAGGGCCAAAATCCTTCTGCCTCACACTTGTCACCCAAAATTGGATCTAACCGCCTCTCTCCCTTCCTCTCTCCTGCCTAGTTTCCTTAGTAACTGGCAGTTCCCTAGTGAATGCCAGACCCCAGGTGACAGACCGCTGTCACTGTCACACAAGCACTTTCTCTCTCTCTTGACGGTGCCCCCCCCCCCCAACCCACACAGACTCGCAGACCTGGGCGGGAGTGTGAGGGTGCCCGGTAGGCTCCGGGGTAATTAAAACATGTACCGTTTATTCCATAACAGAGAGAAGAACTTTAATTACTCACTCTGAGGGTGAGGGCGTGAGTGAGGAGGTGGCTTCGTGGGGAGCGGGGAGGGACTCAAACGCTCTGCTTTTCCTCTCCTTGCATTGGCTCATCTTGGGTTGGAGATGTGGGAGGTGGGCCTGGAAAAGCGAGGGGGTTTGGAGTGCGTGGTGGGGGACGGCAGAGGGTGAAACCTGATTGTGTTCATTAAGGCAACACAAAACTGGGAGCCGTAATAATAATTAAATTAATTATAAAAGCAATTTGCTTTTGAAAATTTGATTTGACAGCTTACTAGTGGCTGCACTGATCTAGCAGCTCTGGCTTAAAAATAGTCAGAACAAAAACCAACTAGAAGAACCATCAGCTAATTTTAATTAGACGCCAGGATTGGTAAACAAAATTCCACACCACCCTTTCATTGTGGCTGACTTCGATTTAAGGAGATGTCAAGACTGATTTGGGGAAAGGCAGGGGAAGGGAAGGTGCCTTTCTTTCTTTGGAGAGGGGACTAGCTCGGGGGGTCCGAGCAAAAGCAGCTCCCTCTCCCTGCCCTCCACATCCAGGGTCCTCCGTGTGACCTTGGCAGAAGTGGCTCTGCCTTTCCACACTTGCTGCACTGGAGACTGCACAGGTGTGTGTCTCTGTGTGTGTGTGTGTGTGTGTGTGTGTGTGTGTGTGTGTGTGTGTTGGAGAGGGAATGCCACACGGGCAGTGTCCACTGAACCTGGAGAAACTCTGCCAAGGAGGAAGAGAGTGGCACAGAGTTGGCTTCCTTCTCCCGCTTCCTTCCTGGGCTCCAGGGTGCTCCAGGGTCTCAGGAAGCCGGTAGTGTCACCTGGATGCGTGGGTGAAGGTGCCAGGAAGCTGGATGCTGGCAGGGAGAGGATCCTGTCACCTCCTGCTCTTGGGTGTCTAGACACCACGCCAGCCTCATCCTCTAGGGCCAGTCCTGACCTGTTCGAGGCATTTTCTTGCCTCCCCGGATGTACAGGGACACCCAGCTCATCCCTCCATCACAGCATTCAACACCCTGCCTCCCCGTCCCCATCAGAGCCCCTCCTCCCTGCCATGCAGTGGTTCAGTTCATCCTGAATCTTTCTGCCTGGCATAGAGCCCAGCATGTGATGGACAGACACTTACGAGTAAGTGTCCACTGAGTGGAGCAGAGCACTGACCAGTGAGGTCTTTCTGACCACCTCTCCCAGCTAGTGTTTGATTACCATCTTCCTCTTTCCCCAACCCCATAGTGCCACTTCCCATCCAGTCCCTGCTCATCTCTGCCCGCCCTCTCCAAGATCACCATCATTTCCTCTCTCCCACCTCTGGGATCCTCCCTTTCCTCATTCTCTTGCTTCCCTGTGGCTCTGATGACACTGCCTGTCCTTCCATGAGCTGTCCCACACCTGTACTTGCTCTTAGTAGTTACATGGGAGCCCTGGCCACCCTTGATGGAGTTAGCACCGTCTTGCATCCTTTATAAAATCTGAAAGGCTGTTGTGAGGACCAGAGGAGAGACTATGTGTGAAGCCCCTCGCTGGTTCCTAAAACGCACTCAGTGTTTAAAGAGGGCCATGTGCTCTGACTGTTATTCCACCCAGTCTCTTCCTGATGCCTTCATTTCTTTTCCTTTTTGGTACTGTAGATTGAAACCAGTGCCTCTGCACTGTGCTACATTCCTGGTCATTTTTACTTTGAGACAAGCTCTCCCTAAGTTGACAAGCTTCTCGGGTGGGACTCAAAACTTGCAATTCTCCTTCTGCAGTCTCCTTGGGATTGCAGACATTGCCACCACGCCTGGGTCATGCCCACAGGCTTCCTCTCACTAGTTTCCTCTTTCTGCAGCTGTATACTGTGATGCAGCAGACCTGGGGCACCGTGGAGGTGACCTAGTCCGACAGCTCACTTCATAGTAGGCTATGAGCAGGCAGGTGGCCTGCCCAAGGCTCTGCAAGACTAGGTCAGACCCAGTGTGAGTCTCAGGTCTTTTGGACTCCAGTGCAGAGCTCTGCTTGAGGCATCGCAGCTTTGAGTTCAGGTTAATGCAGGATGGGAACCGAGGAAACAGAAACTGATTTAGGGACTGAAAACTCCAGCACTGTCCATGGAATTGATGGACAGAAGTGGGATGTCTCCTCCTCCTCTCTGTCCCCACTTTTGGGCCTTATCTGAGCAGGCCTGCCTGGGGACACTTGTCATCTTCTGGCTCAGATCCTCCCCACTTCTCTTCAGGTGCAGGATGCCTGGGAGAGAAGAGTGTGAAGTTGCCTCTCTCCCCAAATCCCACCATGTGCTCCCGTGACTGACGTGGAAACAGCCCACCTTGGCCTTGCTCGGGCTCTGCCAGGAGAGAGGGTAAGAGCTGAGCTCACCCTGAAACATGTGAGCTCATGGCCAGTGCTTGGGGCCAGCTCTCCAGTGAATCTCACCTCTGCCTGGCTGTGTGACCTTGGACAAGTTTTTATACTTCTCTGGACCCCGCATCCCTGAGGTGCATAATAATAGCATCAGAGGATCTCAAATATTCTATGCGCTTAAGCCTTTGCAAATGTTCACTTCTTTTAAAGGATGCCTTGGGGTTTGCCCCGTTTAAAGGTGGCTTTAAATAACAGTTGGGCTACTCCTGGCAGTGTGGTCTAGTGGTGGGCGTCAGGAAAGGGAAACCCATCCGCAGCCATGCCCTGACTGGTGGGAAGAAGTCGGGAGCCAAGGGGGTCAGGCTTTCTGGCTTGTGTCTCTGCCCTTGACCCTCTGGGACATTGGACCACTTCCTTTCCTGTCAATGGGATCAGTGAATCCACCCAGCATAACTCACTGTGAGATACAATGAAGCTAACAAGGCGGTTTTAGGAGATACTGGACATTCTTTAAGCATTTTTACTCATAATGAGTAGAATCCAGCTGTTCATGTGGCCACACGTTAGGCCAAGATGAGCAGACAGAAAACAGCACAGGCCAGAGACCTGACTTTGCCTTCCTTGACAGGAGTTGCTCAAGGAATATGTCGCTGTGGGTCTGAGTCCAGAGCTGCTCTTCCAGCTTCTGAAGGCCCCCAGCAGGATCTGTCTCCCACAATGGTGCTCAGGTCTCCGCCTCACTGCCTTCCAGGACAGGTGCATCCCAAAGGCAGCTGGGAGCTCTGTTCACCCTCAGAGGACCCTGTGCTAACCCTGCCCAGCGGCTGAAGATCACGGGTCCTGGCCTGCTCCCTGCTTCTCCCACAGGTGGGTGGAACTGGGTGGGGCCAAGGCTGGGGCTCAGGGGACCCCCTTCAGAGTGACGAGAGGAGTCCCTCCAGCTCTGCAGGTAAAAGAGGGCTGGAGGCTTAAACTTCTCCACCTGCCTGTCCACTTATCCCATCCTTACAGCCCTCCCTCTTGGGGGCTTGGGAAAGCGAGGTGGTCATTCACGGCCGAGGGCCAGCCCAGGTGGCCCCTTGGTTTTGGACTTTCTGAACCTTCTCCACCATCCTTAGGAGAGACACCCAGACCAGCAGAATAGCAGCCCAAATGCTCTGCATTTACTCTTCTGCAGCAAGCTCTGTGTCTAAGTGAGGGTGTCTACATTTTAATTGAAATTGTGTCTGCCTCCCCTATTTCTAGACATGCTTTTGTTTAATTTAAATGTGAACTGTACAAACACATTGTTTTGTGGCTTACTTTCTAAAAATGAAGGGGTCTTGTAGACGTTTCATGTCAGTTTCTGTGCCCCTCCCCATTCTTTTTTCATGGCCATGTAGTATTTTGCAGTACGACCACGCTGTGGTGTCACTTCATGATTCCTTCATCTGTAGATACTTATAAGTTTCACTAGTTTATTGTTATAAGCAATGCTTGGTCATGCATCTTTATACAAATGCCTTTGTGCAGATTTTATATGGTCATTCCTTGAAGAAACTTGGGATCAAAAAGCACATGCATTTCTTATCTTGGGAGGTCTTTACTCACCTTCAGCTGAGACATGGGAGGATTCTTTTGGGTTAGTGCTGCCTGAATTGGGATGACCACTAGGGAGTCCCTGGAAATTCTAATGCTAAGACCCTTACCTGCCAGGGCCTAGCGAGCTGTGGAGACTTCTTTGCATTCAGAGTAACCCACAATTAATTCCATCCTTGTTTGGAATTTATGAAATGATTAGGATTCAGTTCTTGAACTGGACTGAGGTTACATGATTTGCACCCTGCCAGGACCTTCCTAAAGGAATCCCACACAGTGTTGGGACGTAGACAGAGAGGGGTAGTGACGAAGCCCTAATACCCACCAAGGTTCCATGAGGGCAGATTTTTCTAGTTGTTTACATTTATCACTTCATCTCTAATGCCTGGCACCCCCCAGAGGGTGATTTTCACATATTTGTTGAATGAAAGCAGTGATTTAAAGGTCATACAAAGTCTCTGGGAGCCCAGGCTCTTGACTCAGATGCAGACCCCTTGATTAGCTGTGGGACTCCAAACAGTTGACTCTCTCACAACCTCAGTCCATTCATCTGTAAAATGGGAATGGTAATATTCCTAGTGGTACCCATCTCATAGGATTTTTATGAAGTTTAATAATAACATTTAATGTGATGCATTACTTTTATGACATTCAATCCATAGCCCAACTTTCCAGCAATTTATCTGCCTTAAATTCCTTCTAATCACTATCCCAACTCATCTCATTTTTTCATGAGCATTGCTGACAGTCCTGGAAGGAGCTCTTTTTGTGTCTGTTAGCAGCTGAGTTCAGGGGACTTGACCCTTTAGGCCAGTGGGGCTCTTGTCACAGAAGTGCTGGGCTGGGGAGTACGGCCATGGTCGCCACCCGCGATCTGAAGAATAAGGATCCTTCCTGAGGCCCTGTGCCTGCTGCTCTGTGACCCACAGCTCTGATTTCAGACCCCCACCCGG